AAGTTTGGGCCCCCGATAACAAAACCCTCCCCCCCCCCCCCAAAAAAAAGATAAAAAAAGAAGCAAACAAACTTTAACTTATAAGTTAGGCACAATAAGAGATTAACAACAATAAGTGATATTAAAATATAATGACAAGACTATACTGTGATAAAAGCTATGTGAATGTGGTCTCTCTTTCTCTCAAGGTATCTTTTTTGTACTGTGACCACCTCTTTTTGGACCATAGTTGTTCACAGAATATAAATATATGACATGGGGCCAGTGGATGTCATAATGGCTATGTTGCTGGACTCCCATGTTGTTGACCATGGTTCAAGTCCTGGACCCAGTGGCTTACTCACGCCAGACGTGTGTGCGTGCGTGCCCAAGATCCTAAGAGAAGAATAGAGGAGAAGGGAATGCAGCATGGCCATCCCCCTGGTGGGGGGGGGGGGATTTCTCATTTTCTCTCTCTCTTTCTGTCTCTCACTCTCTGTCTTTCTGGCGAGTGCACGCGCCCTATAGAAAAAACTCTCCAATCAATCAATCAATAAATCAATCAATGACACTAAAGGTTTTGTTTTCTATCAATAAATCAATCAATGACACTAAAGGTTTTGTTTTCTTTCCAGACTTGTTTGTGTTGCCTTTTCATTAAAAACCAAGTGTTTCCTAAGATACATCCTAAGGAAGTACTGTGTGTGTGCATGTGCACGTGTGCACATAGCCTTGTGTGTGCATGTGAGCGAGAGAAAGCAGGCCCTTGCACACTCATGCACAGTTCCTTGAAGTGTCCAGGAATAAGTTTGATTGTACCTGCATTTTCCCCTGTAACTAGGAAAACAAAAGAAAGCTTAACAGCAGATAAGACATTGCTCTAGGCTTCTTTAATAAACTTCACATCTCTATAAAGGCTTTGATTGAAAGCCAGCCATAGTGGCACATGATGCTAACACACTGTGCTCTACAAGCTGGGACCACATGGAAGCCCAAGTTTGATTCCCAGTCCAAGATAAAGGCCAGGCACAGTGGTATGAACCTGTAAAATCCCATCAACTTGGGGAGGCTGAGGCAGGAGGACAAGTTCCAGGCTGGCCTGGGCAACACCGTGAGTCCCTCTCTAAAAAAACAGTCGGGCACAGGGGTGCATGCCTGTGGTTCTAACTGGGAGACTGCGGCAGGAGGTGTCCACAGTGAGACCCTGTTTAAAACACAAACAACAAAATGAAAAACCAGGTGGGAAATTACTTAAAAATGAACAAAATATATTGGGGCCAGCAGGTGGCATGCTGGTTAAAGGCTCTGGACTTCCACATGGCGGACCGCGGTTCAAGTCCCAGATCTGGCGGCTTGCTTTCTCTCTCTCTCTCTCTCTGTCCCTCTCTGGTCAAATTAAAATAAATAAATGGATAAAGTTAAATAAAATAATTCTAAAAAGATTAAATAAACAATTCCTTTTAAAAATGAACAAAATATATATTTCTTAAAATTCAATTTGACAATATTCCATGTGCTTTAAACTGTGCCAGATATTGAGAATAAGAGCAAAGATGATATAATTTCTGAATTCTGAGACATTCCACTTAGACAAATGTCAGACTTGTATATTATACTGACTAGAGACCTGTTTAATTCTGTAAATAGCTATACACTAACGAGTCTGCCATTATCCTTTATGCCATTCTGAGGCGTATCCCCTACTGCAGTGCTTTTATGCTTGTTGATTTTAGCAAACACAGTGATCACCTGGAGGAACTGCTGCAACACAGGCTGCTGCCCCCGCCCCCGAGCCCCCAGGTTCTGACTTGGCATGTCTAGGATGAGCCCAAGAACGTGCACTTCCGATAAATTCCTGAGAGATGCCAGAACTGCTGGGGGGAGGAGGGCACTGTGAGAATCCTGTCCTACTGAATGTGAGTTTAAACTCATCCAGATACACATATGGGATATCCCAAATGGCATTATTTGTAACAACAGAAACCTACAAACCATACAAAGAATACTTAGACAAACTGTGGCATACTCATAATGGAACAATATAAAGCAATGAACTCAAACCAAAAATAAACTAACCATAACATCATGACTGAAAATTAAACAAACTACTAGGGTGTGGTTCCCACTTACGTAGAGTTTCCAAACCAAGACTATTTAGGAAGGCACAACTAGGTGACATAATTTTAAAGAAAAGCAAGGGTGTGAAAGAAGAAATGAGTTAAAATTTTAAAGATTTCATAAAAGCCAAATGTAGGCTACCATGAAAGTTTAGAGTTCTCGAGAGTCCCAAACACTAGAGGAGTCTGTGCTCACGAAAGACTGGAGAAAGGCAGAAGACCTGAGGAAGACCCCTCAGCCGGAACACAGGCAACAAAGTCCTGTCTACTTCCCGGGACTCCCTTGCGTATGAAATAAAACCTTTCAATTACTGAGCAAGGGCGAGGAAACCCTCCTGCCCAGCAAAGTCCCAAGAGGCAAAGGTAAGCTGCACTCAGAGAAGGGTAGAGGTGAAAGCTGCCCCTGAGGGTGGAAGAAGCAATCCCCCACTCACTCCCCACTGTTCCCGAGCCTTGCTCCTGGTAAGCAGCACCAGCAGTCTCTGCTGGAGAGGGCCAGCAAATCCTCCGACCACCGATTCCAGGAACAGTACAATGCCAGAGGAAAGAGGAGGAGAAGTAAAGCCATCTCTTCCTGAGAGAGGAAACCTGTGTGGGCCAAGGATTCTACACAGACACACAGCAGGGGTCAGACACCAGAGAGTAGGGCAGGAAATGGGAAGCTTTCCTTTACAATATGGGGGAAAAGGAGAGGATGCCTGTTCTCACCACTACATTCAGTTCATTGGGACAATAAAAGAAATAAAAGATTATATACCAAAAAGGAAGAAATAAACCTGCCTTTAATACAGACAACATAGTCATCCACATAACAACCCAAAAACCAAAAACCAAACAAACAAAAAAACACCTACCAGAAACAATAAATAGGTCTGCAAGCCTGCAAAGACACAAGGTCAATAAATAAAAACCAACTATATTTAAAAATCTTACTGACAGGGGGCTGGCAGGTGGCGTGGAGGTTAAGGGTGCTGGACTCCCACATGGCTGACGATGGTTCGAGTCCCAGACCTGGTGGCTTGCTTTCTCACTTTCTCTCTGTCTCTCTCTGGTCAAATTAAAATAAGTAAATAAATGAATAAAGTTAAATAAAATAATTCTTAAAAAAAGTTTCTAAAAAAATCTTACTGACAGAAATGAAAGAAAATCTAAATAGGAGAGTTGTACACATGCTCATGGGCTGGAAGACAAAGGATTATTTAAATGTCAATTCTCCCCAAATTGACCTATAAATTCAAATGCAGTCTCAATCAAAAGCTAGCAAGCTTTTATTTAGTGAAAATAAGAATTAAAAAATTTAAGCAAAAACATGAAAATTTCTAAGTTTATAATGATACTAAGAATAAAACCCTTCCCTATCCACTTTAAGAGAAAACAGAAGGGTGAAAGGTAGTGGCTGGGTCTCGTTTGAAGGCTTTTTATCTAAAGGGAGGCCGCGCCAGTAGGAAAGTCCAGGCCACACTGAGAAGTGAAAACTCACAGAAAGACTCAGCCTTACTGGACTGAAGAATCAGAAGAAAAAGATGTGAGCTACTAGATTTGAGTAAGTGGAGTGTACAGGGGAATTTCCAGAAAGGTGAGAACCCCAGGGAGGAAAGCCCAAATGATGTATGTAAACCCTGCCCAAATCTCTGGCTGACCCTGTAGTATATACTGCGAGGTGTGGTCCAGGTCCCTCTACTGACCCACATCTGTGAATGCTTGATGAATAGAAAGAATAAGCATAAGTGACACTGTGACTTTCAAGTCTAGGTCATTAAGGTCATTGCAGTGTCTGTCTTGATCATGGAAAACACTCTTTTGAGTCCTGAGCCACCTGGATGCCACAGCACTGGGAAGGTCAAGTCCTAGCTGGGCCCTGCCTTGCAGCCTCCCCACTGTCCTCCAGAGTACCGCCAGCTAGCCTCCATCAAACCACGTGAGACTGAAGAATCGAACAACAGAGTGAGTCCTGCCTGAAATCCTGACCCACGGTGTGAGGTGTAATGAAATGCCACTGTTTGGGGATTGCATATGATGCACTCACAGATAACCAAACCAGTTATACAAAGTTCACAGAAAAATCAAAGTCAAAAGTACAAAAGAGCAGACATACTTATACTTCTCCAATGAGCAAATACAACAGATACTGCAAACATTAAATTCCCCGGCAAATCAGTTGTATTCATTTTTTTCCCTTTGGAAGCATTACTTCTTTATAAAGGAAGAAAAAAAAGCTCATTATATTTGTAATTTAACTAACAAACCATTAAAGGAACATAGGGGGCATTATATGTACACTAATTGTTTTTAATACTTAAAGAGGAATTCTGAGATTCAGTAGCATTCTGAAGCTAAAGATCTTCCACACTCTACACTGACTATGCTTGTGATCGTTTATAGTCAATAGGTAGTTTTCTGACTCACAGTGAAGACGACACACAGCGCAAACAAGTCGCCTCCCCTAACAGTGCTGAAGAAAGTTTCCTCAGTGGGATTTTAATTTTATTCTTTCTCCCCTTAAGTTAGACACATCCTTCCACTTTTCTACTAAAATTCACTTTCCAAGTGGGA